TCAAATGGCTTTCCAAAAACTAATGTATTTTAATAAAAAGATGTGTTTTGATAATGGACCTCTCAACATTAATTAAATGAATTAATTAATGATTAGGGTGGACCCGGAAGTTTGAAAATAAAGTTCTTAGAAAAATTATTTGAACATGTCATTAAATTCGTTTTGACTGTCTGATTCTGGAAACATAAACGGATCTCAATTCGGACCAGTTTGGGGAAAAATTTGCGTACCGTTCAGATCAGATTCTACACAACAGAATGGAATTTAGGGAGGTAACTCCCCAAATCAAGAACCACACGCCACACACCCTTTACTCTCCCATAACCCCCCATTCAATACCCCATTTATTCCCTCATCATGTCTCATTATTTTCTTTTTAATATAAGGCCCTTCACCCTCCATTTCTCCACCACTCTTGTAACCCCCAAGTTTACACACTCTCCCAACTCTCTCTCTCCCTCCATTGCATTCGGCCAGGCCATAGCAGCTCCAAGAGGGTTTTCTGGTGAGAAGACGGGGAGGTAGAAGGGGAGAAGTTCACACGAGAAACCATTCGTCGTTCAACGTTGTCAACCATTCGTTCATCTTGTTCCATCATTCCGTCAATCCCTTCATTTAGAGGTGAGTAGTTGTCCCCTCTAATTCTAGAACATCAAGCTATAATCTATGTTGTTATATTCATAGGAATATCGTACGCAACCTACGTAGAATTAATGCATGTTCGTAGGCTAGCCATCAAAACGTTCACTACGTAAAACTTGTATATATTGGCCTAGGAATCACTAGGAATATGTTTATCAATGTTTACATTATTGTTCTAAAAAGAATCAAGGTGTTGAGTTTGCAAAANCGACCGCCGCTACGGACGGTGGACCGTTCCGATGGCCAGTCCGACGGTCACCACCGTGACGGTCGACCGCCGGCCACGACGGAAGACCACGGTGGACCGTCGGCCATCTAGACCTCCATAGTGTAGCCCACGGTCGACCGCCGGTAGGGCACGGTCGACCGTTACGCAGGCAGAATTTCGGGCAGTTTGTAGAACGAGCCCCATTTGACTAGTTTGACTCAGAATCTGATTGTGTGTTTGCATGAAATGTTAATATTCATTATGTGTGTTATTCAATTGATATATTCTTGGCGTTGACCAAAGGTAAATACATCAAGCATTCATCATGTTCAATTTAGACACATGTATTCATCATGTCCATCCTAGACGCACGTCCTAGGTTTATCATCATGCGCATACCGCTGTAGGGAGGTCAGGCTTCTGTGCGCCTACTACAGTGGGCCCGTCCAGGAACCTTTGGGATCCAACGGGTTTTCAACAAGTGGGCTTTGTGTACGTACATGGTAGTCAGGCTACGGCTACCACCCGGTTTTTGCTAGTTCACTTGCGACGTTTGTCGAGCCCGGCTTATTACCGGAGTGCAGGGGTGATCCTGTCAAGTGAGACTAAGTCAGGGGTGTCCCTAATCGCATAAGTCATGCATCAAGTCATATAGTCATCATGTATGTTCCATGTCACGTCAACATTCAGTGTGTTTGTCATCATCATGTATGTTCCCCATCATGTTCGTATTCAACGTGGTAGTACATCATTTTGTTATACTTAATAGCATCCCAACAGGTGTAAACTAATCAGTTAATAACATGTGGTTATCCGTATGTTAGGTACAGGTATTAATATGTGTATGGCCATATGGGTTGTCACTTAATGTTCTTTTGTTAGATTCACTCCTCAGCTTATGCTGAGTGTGTAGTTGTTTTTGCTACACGCAGGTAGACAGGACGGTACAGGTGCTAACCTTGGAGGACAGTGATGGTGGGAAGATGGGCGGCGCATGGACGAGTTTAATAATTATAATCATTTGAATTATTTAATCATTTGGGCTTGAACCCACCATTTTTCGTTTTACTCGTTTATTTACTTCCGCTTTTACTCTGCATTTATATCAGTCACGTTTTTGGGAATAACTCCTAACATTTATTTCACCAAGTAAAACAAACGTTTTCATAATAAATAGTCATTAATATCCCATTAATCAAACGTAACCGTTTTCTTATTGAATAATCATTAATGCTTTTGTAACGGACGGTTCTCGGACCGCCCATGTAACCCTACCGGTCCGTTGGGTCGCGGGTGAACCGGGTCCGCGGAGGGCGGGTGTTACCTTGGCTCCAGCGGCGAAGAAGTGCGCACACAGCGAGGACATGCGCCCGCCTCCTTGCCCGCCTATCGGTATTCGAGAAGTTTCGTGGCTCCTGTTGAGTCCAAAATATTCACAAATTATTCTCTATTAAATCAGTATTTTCAGGCATTAAAAAGTGCATTTTTACACTTAAATGATCATATTTGCATTGTAAGCATCGTTTATAAAATATGTTCATAATGCACACTTTTTAGTTTATTTTTGAATATTATTGTTGTGGACCCAAATTCTCCTTGACAAAGGTTATTAGATATATTCTTGGAGCATAAAGTGCGGGCTGAAAATGTGAAAGCGATCCAGTTGGGCTCTACCCCAACTTATGGTGGCAAAGGAATAATCCAGGCCCAAGATGACAAAGCCCAAAAGCCCACCTCCAATACACACAAGAAGTTTGAGAGAAGCTGCGTAAAAAGAGAGAGAGACATGTGAGATAGAAGAGCCGAAGACTCCCTCTCCTACATTGGGACGGCTTCTTCAAGCATAGCTGGAGCCGGAGAATCCGCAGCAAGAAATCAGCGTCAAGAACCCTAATCCAAGACGGAAGAGACAAAGCCAGCGCCTATAAATTGAGGGAGATGCTGCGAAGAAAACACCACCATCATCAACAGAGTAAATCAAGGCTACAATCAAAGGGTATGAACCCTGGGGGGTTCGGATATTGGATCCGTAACCCCTTCGTTCCCGTCTTCTTCCCAATTTTCTTTTTACGTTTTTGTTGAATCTGTTTTCTTTACTTTTCAGACGTAATTCAGAGTTGGTTGTTATTTGTTGATAATTTTGAGTACAATTAGAGAATTGTTTTTTGATTATCGCCAAGAGTTTTAAACTTTCATCAATTCTAATGTTGAAATCAACGTTGGGTTGCTAATGAATGTTCGTGCTGTCACTTGCTGGAGTTACTCTTTACTACATTTAGTGCTGAATTTTAGCATTCTGGGCATTAAACTCTACCTGCACGTTCATCCCTTAGCAATACAAAGAAAAAGACTTCGAAATTGGGTCTGCAAGGTGATCAAGTCAGTGGGTTAATCAAGAAGCATATTTTTGAGAGGATTCTTTATTCTTGTGCCTTTCAAGGTCTGATTTTGTAAAAAATTAACATATGAAACCAGAATTTTTGGAGGAAACATTGAAGCTTGTTGCTTAAAATTAAATCTGTCTATGGGTTAAACTTTTACATCAAGTTTAATGTTCTAAAATAATTCAGCTCTTTTGCTACTATTATTTTAATTCAATGGTGTTTTGAGAACTGTTCTCCGTTTATGCTTGAATTGGGTCAAATTAGGAGTGCACGCCTAATCCACTTCAAATTGATATTCTCTTAAAGTCCAAAGTGCTTTAAATAGCCGAACTTTTCTAGAAACTAAGTGTCACTTGATTAGTACTAGGCTGCCTCATTAAGTGGTTTTTGCTAATCAAGGTTTTCGAACTGATTTTGTTAAATAACCTTTGCGTTATTGCAAAATTGTTACGGTGATGTTTTCCAAAGATTTTAATGCGCTATTCTTAGTAGTAATCTACGAGTTGGTCTTTGGGTGGCTAAGGGTAGTGGGATTTAGAGTTAGGGTTGGTCTTAACATGAGCTTTTATGAATGGGAAAATAGGGAAGAACCGTTGGTGGATTTCTTCTTCAGCCTAACCCATGTTTTGATTTATAGTTGGTTGATGATTATGCTTATTTTTATCAAATATTAGACATGGATATTTATTTTCTATACTTTATAAAACTATGTTACTTTTTCTAAAATTGTTTAAGTCCTTAAAATAATGTGCTACGTGATCTAGTTTGTGTTTTTCTTCTTTGTTTGGGATTTTGGTGGAGTTATGTTCTGTTTTTATCCTTAGTTTGTAGCTTTGGAATATGATCTGATCTGATTTTTTATAGTTCTGATCTGATCTGATTGGATCTGATCTGATCTAGTCTAGTCTGATCAGATCTGATTAATTATGATTTGATTTAAAATTCAAATCAATAATTTGATTTGACTTTATAATAACATTTGAAAATTGTAATGATACTTCATATTATAATATAATCAATATTTTTTATTTTGTGATTATTTTTTAATAAAATAAAATTAGTTAATTCATATCTTAAAATAATAATTCATATTATAATGTAACAATATTTTTTATTTTATGATTATTATTTTTTTTGAAATTAGAATATTAATTTAATATTTTAATAATTACTTCATATATACATTAGAATAAATATTTAATTTATATATACATTAAAAAGTAATTAAATTTAGATAATCAATATATAGAAGATAGTTTTTTTATTAAAATATGTTATCCTTATAAAAGATCAAAACTTTAGAAACAATATTTTTTTATTAAAATATGTCATACGACGTCTAATAATTAAGTATTACTTTCTCAGTTTTCTATTTAACTTGTTTCTAAAGTTTATTTTTTTTCATTTTTAATAATAATAATAATAATAATAAGAACAACAAAAACAACAATAACAACAACAACAACAACAACAATAACAATAATAATAATAATAATAATAATAATAATAATAATAATAATAATGTTAATGATAATAATAATAATAATTCTTGATGGGATCTGATCCGGTCTGATCTGATCTGTTCTGATTTTAATAAAAATAAGAAAAAATAAAAAAAAATAAATTGAACGGAACAGAACCTTAACTCTTACTCCGTAATTTTTATTGAATGAATTCAGTTTTGGAGGGTTGGAAATGGGCTTCTTAAGTGCGGGTAAAGTTGGGATAAGACTCCCAGCCCTAAGATTAAATCTTAAGAATCCCCCGGATAAGCTTTTAGGTTAACCGAGAAAATGAAGAGAAGATATAGGCGCTAAGTCTGGAAAACTGCCGACCCAAAGAGACTAGCGAATGAAGCAGGGATTATCTTAATTGTCGAAGGTATTCCTCTTGAATCTTTGATTCTTAAACTTTTATTTTCTATCTTTCTTGATTATTTTTATTGATTATAATTGTTAGTTCTTTGGTTTTTGACGGTTGAGAATAGAAATTGTAGCAATTATTTCCAATACAAAGAGTTGACTTGTACGAGACATGAAGAGAATATAGGGATTTATTGAACTGAGATATTAGTGTTATCTACTTATTGAAATGTCTAAATGGTGAAACTTAGAAAATAAAGCAGGGCGAGTGTGTGGGTATTTAATGGTTGAAATTAACATTGATTTTCTATTTTTCAATGGGGCTTAATTTAGGGTATTTAGGCATGATGTCCAAAATTCAATGTTATGCATTGATATTATTTTGGTAGGAAATTGATTTTATGAAAAAATATGAACTTGTACAGGATTATTATTATGTTGTCAGGAAAATACCTATGTGGATATGAAAAACGTCAAAAGGAAAAAGATTTGATTAATTAACTTGGGTATAAATTGCATCACACTTTATTTCTTCATTTTCATTTATGTGTTTCCCTATTTTGGTAAATGATTTGTGTCCACATAATCTAGGTGGGTGCAATTGTGTCTATTCATTGTTTTTATTGGCTTTATGCTATCATGCATATTATCTTTCACAAGCGCATCTTTTTGCTTTCCATGGTACTCCTAGGGTCTTGGAGACAGTTACTAATGTGTATCCTTGGAAACCCTTAGGATTGGGGGAAATTCTAGACAAAAAACAGTAAAATGAAACATTGCAGACTGTGCACTAGTCTAGGAAACAAAAAAGGAGCTGAGCTATTCTGGAAGTGTGGTACCAGATTTGTAGTTAAAGTTAAACTGTTTTTGAACATTTTTTGAATGCAGCCGTGCCAGTTTCCATAAAAATATTTTGGGAGAAACCAAAAGCTTAATTTATCACTAGAGAGGAGGCAGATTGATTCGATACATAGATAATTTACACAGATCATTGATTGAATGGGATGATAAGAGGACATCAAGATCTATTTGGTTCAGGTACTCTATGACTCAATGCTAACTATGATAGAACAATTTAATATCCTCTGTATTTATTTTTCCAATAACTTGTTTTTTTAATTATTTTTATAATTTTTTGTGGGTCCAGAGTTCTCGTATTGCCCAGGACCAGTACGTATCAGGAGTGCCCTGGAAACAACTAATTAAGAGGAAACACATGATGGGAAAGGAGAAGCAAAATACTAGGCATAATAAGGGGGACAATATTTCTGACGCAGTTACTAATGAGAATGGTAAGAAAGTTGTTGTTTGTGCTCTTCCTTGTTTTTCGGAATCTCTCATTAAGAGGAAAAGAAGCTCAACGGAAATATGTGACACACCCATAAGTAAGACAGTGAAGGAGGTTGCTGTTGTGTCTCCGTATTTTGCGAAATCAATAAAGGGTAATTTTAAGAGGAGAAGAAGCTCAACAGAAGATAGAGTTTGTGACACAGCTATGAGTAAGATACAAAAGGAACTTGGTGTTGTGAAATTTCCCAAGGGTAACATTATTGACTGCATGAATAGTGAATCTGTTGTTGAAGTGGAAGACAAGAACGAGCATACGAGGAAAAGAAGCTCAAGGAAACGAGAGGGCGAGCCAAAGGTCAAAGCGGTCATTCGTTTTCCATATTTGAATAATGACATTCAAAAGAATACTAAAGGTGAACTTGTTGTGCCGTCAGTGGAGAAACATGTTGAGCTGGACGATACAAGAAGTGTACCCGTTGAAGATGCAAGACAGGAAGCACGGGTCGGCAATTCTACAAGGGAAAAAAAACTGCATGGCTTCTCTACAATTGATGAAATTTGCTCTAATTTTGCATACACCGGCGGAAGCTTTGTGAAGGGAAAACACGGGGCTGAAGATGGTAGGGATTCTTCTCAAAGGATCACAATGCTAGATAATGAAAAATTGATCGTGCCTTCAAAACTTTCTTTATTTGGAAAAAGAAAGCCCCATTCATTTGTTCCTTACCATAGGAGATCATCTGTTCAGGTTGGTTTGAAGGGGGACAAATATGTACGCGCTGTTTCTCCTTACTTTCAAAATTCACGGGCTGGTGAAATAGTGGAAAATGAACCTGGTAGTAATTCTTTTCATGAGGGTGACTTATTCCAACATGAAGGTGAAAATAGGACTACTCTCAAGGGCATGAGTAGCACTCTTCTCGAGCGGGAAGCGCCGGTCGACCATTCTACATCGGCAAAGAAACTGCATGGCATCTCTACAACTGATGAAATTTTCTCTCATTTTGCGTACACTGGTGGAAGCTTTCCTAAGAGAAAACATGGAGCTGAAGATGTTTGGAATTCTTCTAAGAGGATCAGAACTGTAGAGAATGACAAATTGAGAGGGGTTTCGAAAGCTTCTCTAATTGGAAAAAACAAGCCCTATCCATTTGCTCCTTGCCAAATGACATCCTCTGGCCAGGATGGTTTGAAGGGGGATACGGGGATTCATAGGGAAGTGTACAAAACTGTACGTGTTGTTTCCCGTTACTTTCAAAAGTCACGGGCTGGTGAAATAGTGAAAAATGAAGATCAGCATCCCCTAGTTGAAACACAAAACTCTTTTAGAAGAATTCCCCCCTGCTCTCACAATTTAAAGCAGAAACAGGAGAATGTAATTACTGATTTGTTGGAGGGAAAAACTGTTTCAACAAAGCCTAAAAAGGGCTCTGCTAAAACTAAACGTGCAGTGTTTATCAGGCCAACTCTTTCTGCTGCTCAAAAACGTAGTGAAGCTTACTTAAGGAGGATGCCGGATAACAAGTGGAAACCACCAACTTCCCTTAGCAAACTTCTTCAAGAAGATCATGTTTATGATCCATGGAGGGTGCTGGTGATTTGCATTCTTCTTAATCGGACAACTGGTAAACAGGTAAATTTCTTCATATCATCTTATTCTTTTTACTCATTGAGGTTTGTTACTTTTTCAAGACAAGTTGTTCTTTTAGCTTGAAAATTCTATATTTACTATTATTGTCACTTAGTTGCAACTGGTGCTTCCAAAAGGATTCTTGCATGTGTATGTAGTGAATGAGCAACGGATCAGCTTTACTATGTTTCCAAGATGCAACATAAACAGTAAAAAGATTTTAAAAATTTTCCAGGGGGGATGTTCATGTTGTGCGATACGTTCGTCATTGGTCATCCATGGAAAATTGCATATTGATTTTTACCAAAGTTTATACTTTCCATTTTTGGATGCTCTTTGCGATAGGAGAGCTACGATTAGAGTAGTTGGGTAGGCACTTTGGGCTAGGATGTAGTTTTACGTACAGGTTGTGTGCTTTGTATGCCTTGTTTGCTCTCTTACGATCTTTTCTTATCCATGCTGCTTGAGCCGGGGGTCTTTTGGAAATAGCCTCTCTACTTTCGAGTAGGGCCAAGGTTTGTGTACACACACCCTCCCAGACCCTACTCACGTGGGATCCAATTGGGCTCTTGTTGTTGGATGCTCTCTGCAATACATTTGCTTGCTTTTGACTGTGATACTTTGTTGGCACAAACTGAACTCTTCTCAAGTGTTCATTAGTATCTTTCAGTTTTTGGCTAGTCATTTGGCAAACTATAAGTTTGTTTGGAGCATTTCGAGAGGCAGATCCACATCTAGTCTCACTGCTCATGAACCTCATAGACCTCCATGAATGTCCTTACACCAACACACACATATACATATATAAATAAGGTATGGGGTAATGTAGTGCATATATATATATATATATATATATGTATGTATGTATGTATGTATGTATGTATGTATGTATGTATGTATGTATGTATGTATGCATCTGAAAACATGTCTCTAGCGAAGAGGGGAATTCCGGAGACCGGTGAGGAATTCTGGTGACCCTACTTTAATTCAATCAATCTGCCAGGATGCTCCAAACTCTTTTGAGAGGTACTTACAGGAGACAATAAGGCACTGTGTAAGATTGCGATGGAGGGAGCTTCAGGAGCAGTGTTAACTTTCTCTAGTGAAGATATTATGATGCTGGTTGCTTGATTAAGATTTGGAGTTATAGGCAAATTTGCTAAACACATCTCCAACATCAACATTGCCGACTCTCTTAAGCATGCCATGTTTGATGGATTTAAGGTTAGCTTTTAGTCATTATCAAGCTCTTATAAATTTTGAAAGGGTAGAAGATTACATTCAATTTCTGAGAACTTGGAGGGTAGGTGAGGGAAGACTATATCTAAGGAAATGGTCCTGCAGTTATCTTCAAGAGGATAACCCTTTCTTCCCAATTATGATAACTTTCAAGAAAGTACCTTTCCATCTTCAAGAGTCCAAAGCTCTCTTCTCTCAGCCATGTCTAATGGGAAACCATCTAAAGATGGATGGGAATATGCTGCAAGGCGAATATATGAACATAGCACGATTCCTTGTTGATTTTGGGAAAAGACAGTAAAGGTATGCATGGGTGAGAAAATCTTTTCCTTTCCAGTTGAGTTGGAGAAGGTGGCAAAATACTGTACTAAATGCAAACAGTTTGGTCACCACTGTCAAAAGTAAGGCTAGAAAAGGGATGTGCATCCTACTGGAAAATTCCCGCTTGAAAATTCTCAGCCGGTGGGGCGAATAACTCGAAGGGTTAACATCCTATAGAAAGGGACACGAGAGGCTGGACAACAGTCATATCTAAAAAAAAAAGAATCCAAAGAGTAGGGTTCAACTGATGCCCATACATGAATGTTCCCTAGTAGTCTTGGGGAATCCTCTCAGAATGTTAAGACCAAAAATTTTATTCTATCAGTTACAGGACAAAGAGGAGCCAACACCTAATATCCCCCAACAATTTGACAGCTCTTACTCACTGGTCCCTAAGTCTGTTCTGAACAAAGAATAAGCAGGGCCTTCCCAGAACAAAAGTGACCTTTGTGGTAAATCTTTAGCCAATAGTTTTCTGGCCATTATTCTTTGGGAACCTAGTGTGTCTTCATATAAATGATCTAGTGATTCACTCAGAAGGTGACAGTCTAGGTAATTAAAGAATTACCCTCCAACCATCTACATCTTTCATCCTAGGAGTAGTTAAGGTGGCAATAAACTCTCCCAAAGCCCATCATAACAATAAGTGCAACACACAAATCATAATGTATAATGTAAATTGCTCATAATGCCATCAAGAAATCAAAGGGCCAAAATGACACAAACTCAATCTTGCAATTCATGAAATCTTCATCCATGAAGGCCACCTGCTTTTCTACATATTTGTTTGTACACAAAGTCCCTAAACCAAATAGCCACGATTCCCACGAACCACGACCACGAATTTGTAGAAAAAACAAAAGAAATCATACTTGCAATTCAACATATATAACCTATCCTCTGTAGGGAGGTCCAAGTATCAGTGGTCACACAAACTCTTTGACACAAATTCACAATATTTTCCTTTATTAAAAGTCTTTCATCCACCTATAGTTGATAATCATCTCGTGTAATAGTTGTGCATGAAGGCAATTTAAGACCGGGAAGCAAAACAGATAACATTAGCTTAAATCCATCTTTCTCAATGTTCTATTAATTTGTGGATTAGTTAATAATGACTTTTGAGTGACTATATATGTGATAAAAACGTCCGAGAATGCATTGTATTTAGAATAATTTTAATACAAATTTGAAATATAGTTTTCTTATGCGGGATTCGATCCCACATCCGTAGTTGATACCCATCTACCATTTGACTTTATTGATAATGATTTGTTTTTTTAAATAGACTCTTCCTCTTGCACATGGACGTATTAAAAATGCATTTTAATCTTTTAAAATTTGCATNGTAGGGAGGTCCAAGTATCAGTGGTCACACAAACTCTTTGACACAAATTCACAATATTTTCTTTTATTAAAAGTCTTTCATCCACCTATAGTTGATAATCATCTCGTGTAATAGTTGTGCGTGAAGGCAATTTAAGACCGGGAAGCAAAACAGATAACATTAGCTTAAATCCCTCTTTCTCAATGTTCTATTAATTTGTGGATTAGTTAATAATGACTTTTGAGTGACTATATATGTGATAAAAACGTCCGAGAATGCATTGTATTTAGAATAATTTTAATACAAATTTGAAATATAGTTTTCTTATGCGGGATTCGATCCCACATCCGTAGTTGATACCCATCTACCATTTGACTTTATTGATAATGATTTGTTTTTTTAAATAGACTCTTCCTCTTGCACATGGACGTATTAAAAATGCATTTTAATCTTTTAAAATTTGCATGTGTGTGCCTAACCCATATTTAAACGTATCACTGAACATTTTAAATACATCAACATTTGTAGAAAATTCACAATCTAGGATAAATTGGTGCATCATACTTGTGCAAAGAGAATTTCACCATGAGATGCGTTAACTTGATTGTGAGATTGCGCAATTATAGAATGCATCGTCTTTGAAAGATAAGAAATTAAATTCAGCAGGTAACTGTGCTCAATGCATTGTCTTTGTTTTATTCTGTTAATATGCAGTAAAACTATGCATTTTGATTTTTTACTATGTATATGCGTATATTATACACTTTGTCAATTTGTTTGCATTTTACTTAGGTATGAGAATGCGTTGCGTTCTAGTATAAATGCATTGTCGCGATGTTGATAATGCACAATATTAGAAATATGCAATGAGTAAACATAACGAATCAATAAACACAATAGAGAAAATTAATTGAGAAAATTGCAGAAGAAAAAACATAATTGAAAACTTGGTTTTAAATTAATTAAATTTTTTAGCACTAGGTAGTGGGAGAGAAAGAAGTTTGGCGAAGAATTATACATGTAGTCGTGTAGGCGTGGAAAGCAATTGCTCGAAGGTAAATATTCGGAAGCAATGAAGTCCCTCTATTGCCAATACCAACGCATCCATGTTGACACTGCCCACCGGTTGCTCATTTCTGCAGAACAAAGTTTTTGGCCGCCCTACCTGCTTGGACATCTCTTTCGGACGCATTTTGGGAACAATCGGTGGAGAACAAACAGAAAGTACATCCCAAAATTAAAAATAAGGGATCATTGATGTAAAAGGAAATGAAATCTAGAATTGGGGATTGTATAATAAAATCCCAATTGGAGAGAGAGATGTGATGTTGTGCGCTTATTTTGTGGTGGAAACAGAAAAAAATATGGAAACACAAATATGCCCCTATCTTATGCAGATCAGAAAGCAACCATCCAACGTCCCACCATAGTTATCACGACGCCAAGTCGAGGCGCGGCGCTGGGATACTGCCAGTACGCCTAGTCGACTAGGTGACCGTCTAGGTGACACATAATATAGGAGAATTGTTATACATTAAAAACACAAATATAAAGTTTAAATTTTTCTAATACATCAAAGTTTAACTACCAATGTTACTTTTAAGTACTTTCCTAAAAGTTTATAAAATGCGCTACTGATGTAAGTTGGTAATAAATTAATCATTCAAAATTTAAAAAGTTTAGCATTGAGTAATAATTATGAAGATAAAGTAGAAAATAACATTAACTAATTTATAAAGCATTAAAAAAACAAAGCAATGGAGCCGGGGGTATAAAACACTTTAAAAAATGAAGCACTGGAGTAAAAAAACAAAAGTACTGGACTAAGCGAGCCAAGGTGAGGAAAGGCAAGGCCTAGGCGACGCCTAGGTGAGGTATGCAAAATAAAGCAAGGCGAGCTATCATGGCGAGAGGAATTAAGGAAGCTGTCAAAACATTTTATAAGCCCACCAGTGTTCCTTTCGTAATATTCCATTGCAAATAGGAGCCCCTAGGTATGTGAAAGGAGCCTGCCCTTGCTTCATGTTTAGAGCGTGTTCCATAGCCATGATTGAGTTCCTGTTAATTCTTTCACCACAGTGTGCGTTGCTTTTTCCAAAATTAACCATCTGGCTAGATGCCTGCAGGGTATGATGAAAGGACACCTCTGAATCTGATCAGGTTGCTCACCTTTCCATTGAGATATCATCAGCATAAGCTAGATGTGAAACCATAGGCACCCAGTCCCTGCGTTGAAGGGGGTTAGGAAGTTTGTCTCTAGGCGATGGGTAAGGATCTAGGAGAAACCCTCACTGCCTATAATATAGAGGATGGAGGAGAGAGGATCTCACTGTTTCACTCTCTCCATATTGAAGAAGCCACAAGGGGTCCCATTTAAGAGAACAGAAAACATAGTTGCTATCATATTAGCCAAAGCAGTGACTGGATATGATCATTGAAACCAAAGGCCTTCAAAATATTTTTGAGATAATGCCAGCTCATCTTATCAAAGGCCTTAGTCATGTCAATCTTTACCACCCTCCACATTTTTGTTAAGCACATGATGCATCTCCTCAGCCATTAGTATTTGGTCAGCAATATCTTGATTTTTCTGGAAAGCAATTTCTTCCTTAGAGATGATTTTTGGAAGAACTGATCCAATTCTACTTGCTAGAATCTTTGAGTTTATCTTGCTCATGAATGTTGATATTGAGAGAGGCCTGTCTGTGGTCATAAAGTGTTCTAGGGCTGTCTTTCTTAGGAATGGGGGTTAGTAGAGTGCTCCCATTAAGCACTGGGAACTGGTATTCTGGTACTCTAAGAAGAACTCCTGTAAGACCAAATTAACATCTTTCCCAATTCTAGGTCTTCTTAAATACTCCCCATTGTAATCAACAATGCCTGCTGCAGTATGTGGATCTAGGTCCCAAACTGCAAGTCTCACTTCTTCAAAAGAGGGAAGAGAGGATAGCTTTTCATTTTCCTCCTCACTGGTAACCTCAGGGATATGCTCGATGATGTCCTCAAGATTTCCATCAACACCCTTAGTAACCTAAGCATCTCTTTTAGGCCTTTCAGTTTCTGTGCAATGACCTTCATTCACCGGGGTAACTACCTTTTGAAATGAGGGATGGGAACACCAAGCGTTTATAAATCTAAAAGATTTGGGCTCTATGCTGGAGTTCATAGGGCAGTCCAGTAGTAGAGGGTTATGGTCAGAACTGCCCTTGCTGAGTTGTGTCACCCTCAAATCTGGAAAATTGCATTGATGTTAATGAAGATACGATCTAGCCTTCTCCAAACGTTGCCCTGGCCCCTGGTTCCACTCCAAGTGAAGAAACCTCTTGCTGCATCAAGGCTGTCAAGGACTCAGGATTCTAGGCAATTGGAAAGCTCTTCCATGCACTGTAAGGACAAGAACGACCTTTATATTCATCCGTTCTGGTTATGGCATTAAAGTTTCCGCCTACTATCCATATATCTTCATTTGGATCATGATCTATCATGCTATTGTTTTATACTCCGTCCGTCCACAATTAGACTTCCCACTTTTCTTTTTTCTCCGTCCACAAAAAAAACTTCCCGTTTCTATTTTAGGAAAGTTTTTATAACTGAAATGTCCTTTCTACCCTCATTCTTCTTCCTCCTCTCCCTTTCTTCTTTCTTTCTTTTTCTTCTTCTACTGTTTTTTCGTTTCTTCTTCGGTTTTTTCTTGATTTCTTTTTCTTCTTTTTCTCCTTCTTTATTCATTTTCTTTTTCTTCTTCCTTCTTCTTCTTCTTCTTCTTCTTTTTCTTTCTTCTTCCGTCATCTTCTTCTTTCTTTATTTTTTTCTTTCTTCTTCCTTCTTCCGTCAACTAGAAGAAGTAAAATTTTTCCAGATCTGTGGGTTGCATCTTCACGAGATCTAGATTTGCAGTGACAATTTTTTGATTTTTTCCAGATTTGTGGTGGGATGTTGATTTTCCTCCACGAGAAGTCTGAAAACAGATCTTTGGGATGAAAACAGAACTTTCCATCTGGCAGTTCACCACGAACGGGAAGCACACGCTCCGGAGCCCGATTGCCGTCCAAAATCTGTAGGCATAGACGACGGAATAGATCGATGTGGTGAGGAGGATGACGAGGACTTGGAAGGACCCGGGAGAGGTAGAAGGCGTAGAACTATAAGAAGACCGGACCCGATGGTCGGGTCCCAATGGGGAAACAGAGGAGCCACTGGAACGGGGTGGTTATGGACTGGTGCCAGAACCACCTGGTGTCACGGATCTCGGTGGCAGCAGAGAGGAGGATTCTCGTGAAGATGGTGAGGGAGATGAGGGTCATGGAGAGGGAGTGGAGGGTGGACAGGGTAGATAAGGATGAAGGGCATAGTGAGAAAGGCAACACAAATTTCATTTCACATAAATTTGCGCACCGAGTCAAAGCCGTAAGTTTAATTGTGGACGGAGGGAGTAGATTCTTTCTTCCTATTGTGGTGTGCTTACCATAAACTTTGTAAATAAAAAGGGAGAGGGGAGGGGGGTGGGGATCGAAATATAAGGTTGAGGAATTTGCATGGGACAATCTGATCCTCTTGTTTACACTCCAGATGCCCCAGAACTCCTTATCCCAAAAGATCCAAGATTTGTCATTAGCTGATCCCATGCATTCAGAGTACCCTAGCTTTAACTTGTAGTCATTTAAAGATATAAATCATATAATCCTTGCTAGGGAGGATACAATTCCCCTAGCATTCAAGAAAAGAGGCTTCTTGATAGGGGAAAGGAAGGGGCTCCACCTAGCTGACTACGACTCCTAGTCATAACCTCGAAAGGAGTTGTTGGCTTCTTCCTCTTGGTGAGTCTTGGGAAAGGTTTGGCCTTGCACTTGGAGAAATCCACCTGAAAAGGCTTTAGTATTGATGACTCTAGGGGAGAGTCTCCAGAATGGTAATTATAGTCCACTTTGTCTACATCTGTTCTAGGATCTAGCACACCCTCCGCTATTCCAGCAGCATAGAGGATCATGGAGGTTGCCTTGTGAACATCAGCAGTGCAAAATGAATCATCCTTGCTTCCAATAGAGTGAAGGTGGGTTCCATCATCAGGGTTGGTTAGTACTTCATATTTGTTAAAAACTGGAAGCATCAAACCCTCATCAAGTGTTTTCTTCAATAGTAGTGAATGCTACATCAGAGATGTCATTAAAACTGATATGATCATTATAAATTTCTTCATAGACAGCATCTAGGTTCTATGAATCATACTTAGTTGGGTAGAGGAGGGTGGTGATATCCTCGACAAGTACATCCCCAGACCAAAAACTGCTTGACACGCGCGCGCGCACACACACAAGCCCATGCACGCAACACATTTATTGGGTACATGGTATTATTATCTTTTGCTTTCTGTTAGGGATTATTATTGTTGATGTTGTTGTTATTATGACGATGATGATTAGTAGTATTATTTTCGAGTACAAAGAGCTTAAAGACAAGAACAACAGAATCAACAAACCCAATATAATCCCAACTCTGTTAGGGGGTTTTGGGGGCAGGGGATCAAAGAGAGTTCATCTCTCTAGAAGAGCCCTAGATTTTTGGCAGTGACATGTTTCACTGTAAAAGTCATACTTAGCAATTTATAAAAATACTTCCGTTGTATAAATCTTGTATCTTTTTTAATGAGTTTTGATATGGTTTCATATCAGATATGGTGAGTCATAAAACACGAAACTGAATTACTGAAATGGGGTGCCAAGTGCTGCCTTTAACTCCTTTTTTAAGAATAGTCTGTTGGACTATCTCTCTTGACATATGAAATTCGTGTTGCTCCTTCGCTCATGCAATTTAAGGATTCTATAGTACATTTATTGTCATCATGCTCAGATGAGCTACATGATTCATCTCTTTACTTTGCTCCCCATCAATGCAAGCACTATCATCATGGAAAAATAGCATCTGTTCTCGCCAAGAACTTGCAAGAAGGACGTGTTAAGCATGCGGGTACACCACCGTACGGTTGATGTCGGGAATAGGTGAGGGTGATTGGAGGTTGGCGGCACTATGATTGTCTGGAGTCCAACTCTTCACTTTAACAGAGAAAGGGCTTGGCCTTTCCTAAGACACCAAGAATACTCAAGATAAAAAAGCCATTATTCCAACTAAGAGAATACACTCCATATAAGAGATACCTGAAAACTAATTGGAAACAAATAGCTTAATGAATACTTAAGGTATTACCGTATTAGGAGTACTAAGTCTTTCCAAATAATGTGTACTTCAATAATTAAATACATTTAATACAATAAGGTTATAAGTAAATTGCTGACGCGCAACAACTCCCTGGGCTGGTGCTGCTGGTACGTCTTGCCTAGAAATGTATATGCATCTATCATGACGGTAATGCTTATAACCCCTTTTGGGTAGCTGATTGTACAACACATTTGGGAGCATGCTTATATTTCCTTTCCAACATTATGAGTCATATTTGGGAACAAGTGATTGATGGTGTCATGAAAGTGAAGCATGTCGTTCTCACATACTCATCCAGTTTCCCTGAACTCCTGCATGGCTCAACTTGAGGGGAGATATCAGACAAATAGTTTGTCCATAGTATTGGGAGTCTTCTGTCATAAGTTGTTTTTGTCTCTNTGAAAACTAATTGGAAACAAATAGCTTAATGAATACTTGGGGTATTACCGTATTAGGAGTACTAAGTCTTTCCAAATAATGTATATGCATCTATCATGACGGTAATGCTTATAACCCCTTTTGGGTAGCTGATTGTACAACACATTTGGGAGCATGCTTATATTTCCTTTCCAACATTATGAGTCATATTTGGGAACAAGTGATTGATGGTGTCATGAAAGTGAAGCATGTCGTTCTCACATACTCATCCAGTTTCCCTGAACTCCTGCATGGCTCAACTTGAGGGGAGATATCAGACAAATAGTTTGTCCATAGTATTGGGAGTCTTCTGTCATAAGTTGTTTTTGTCTCTACATATGTATTGGTATCCGCCAGACATGAATGAATCTTTAAGTAATACAGTTTTTTTCATTTTCCAATATGTTACGAATTTGAATGCAAACAATCGCTTATATTGTCCGAGTCCATGTAGGTTTCTCAAGTGTTACCGACGCTATTCACTTTGTGTCCAAATGCAAACACCACTACAGAAGTTCCCATTGAGGCTCTTGTGAAAGTGTTAAGACCTTTAGGCCTTCAGAATAGGAGGGCAGCTACGCTTAAAACATTCTCAAAGGAATATTTGCAAGATAGCTGGACTCATGTGACACAGCTGCATGGTATTGGCAAGTACGTTTGCACCATTTCATATGTGTTTTTTTCTAAACGTTTTCCTCCCATCTCAACTGGAACTGAAGTGTGAGTTATTTTTTATTTGTTTGTAGGTATGCAGCAGATGCCTATGCAATATTTTGTACTGGAAAATGGGATCATGTAAGACCAGAAGATCACAAACTAACTGAGTATTGGAACTTTCTTGTTGAACTCCTCACGAAGGATGGAATATTGGCATAGCATTGGATGGTGTTTTTTTTTTTGCAACTGACAATGTACTGGTAACTTGGATTGCATACTATCTTCTCATTTTCCTATGTGATTTGTTCGAAAAATTTGTTTTGGTCAGCTTTTTGGAAACAATTAGGGTGCTTTGAAATGAATTCTTAAATTCCTCTTTTGATGCTTGTCTCTCACCTTCCGTTTGTTGATTGGTGGATGTACACCCTTCCTCTATAGGAGGTAATATGATACCGAGAAACTCATGGTTGTCCACATTGAATCATGCACAACACACATTTTAAAGTATGTTTTTCTATTTCATTAAGGACTTGCTTGCATTATAAAGCCATTGGCCTCTATCCCTAGCAAAATTTGAAAAACCAAACATTGCTTTAAATCAATGATTTAAAATTGGACGGGACGTTGAACCGGCGAGGCAAGTCAATCTGTAGAACCGGTCAACGACATGGTCAATGAACCTATAACTATTCTTACAAAACTTCTTATATACTTTGCATGATTAAGTATTTCAGATTTATACTTGCTTGATTAAAATGAAAAAAAATAAAATAAAGATAAATAATATAATATTTATTTTTAATTTATAAATGCTTCTTAAATTTTTAGGGGGAATAGTTCTAGATAAATTATTCATATTTGTATTTTCATAAAAAACCTTTTCTTGTTTTAGTTTTTTTAACCTTGGCAAAAGAAGTTTACATCACACAATTATGACTTTTTTTTAAATAATTGAAAGTTTCTTTCAATTATTAGCACGGGTAAGGCCCATGTAGTAAACCTAATATATATTCGGTTTTATATGGATGGCCACAGGTTTATGGATTGAAATGCATGTAAGGAGTTCGATCCTCCCTCGTGCTTTTAAATCCCATCATTTTTATTTAATTTATTTGTTTGTGTATTTATTTTATTTTAAATTTTTGAATTTAATATTTTTTAATATATATTATATTACGGAGTATCTTATCTGACATGATAAGTACTCAAGACCTAAAGTATGTTTAGTTCGTATATTCTACCCAATTTCTCAATATTTGGTATCAGAGCTTTTGGGTAGATAAATATACTCTTGAAACTTTGAGTTTTATTTTTGAGTAAATTTCATAATTGGTCCTTTATAACAGGGAGGTTTCCATATTTAGTCCTCTATTATCAAGTATTACCCCCGTAGTCCTTTTTTTAAGGGTACCTTTCCACAAATGGTCCTTTTATTGATCTTCTGCCGTGTTGGTGTTAATTTAAAGGCTAAAAATATAATTTGATGGTAATATTTAGTCCTCTATTATGACTAAATAGAGAAACCTCCCTGGTAATATTTGATAATATTTTTTGTTATTTCTTTTTTTTTTTGTTTTTCGTGCACCATTTAAAATAAAATATTTTTCTATATTTTCTTTAATCATTGTCAATCTGCTTAAAACACACAAAAAATCTTACATTTTTCTTATTCCAAAATATTTAAAGAAAAGCTTATTTTCCTTATTTTAGTTGCATATTGCATATACTTGTTACCAAGTTTTTGTTTATTGTTTCCATCTTAGAATAAATATACCAACTAAAACAAGGAAGTCAAGTAAAACATTATTTATTTTTTTCATATAGGTTGGTTTATTATTTTTATTTTATTTTTTTTAAGAAAAAAGGCCTTTTTGCTTTCCATTTTCATTTAGTTTTAATTGTACTCCCTATCCTAAAATAAGTTCTTGATTAGATCCAACTTGGATACAACATCTAAGCATTTTAAGAGGAGTAACGACAATTATAATTTTTTTCTTTCTTTCTGAAAGATTTGTTATTTCCAATGGTTTACAATGTGATATTACAAGGGAGTATATACTAGGAGAATCCTAGGTATATTAGGAAAATACAATACAAGGAAACCTAGGCATGTATGGTAACTAGAATATACACAATATAATAATATGTACATAATATATTAAATATAGAAAGACTATATTTAACATGCTCCCAACGGCACTGGCAATGATTGTCGGATCCCCAAGCTATCACGAAATTCTGAGAAGACCATGGTTGGGAGGCCCTTTGTAAAGATGTCCGCATATTGCAACGAGGAAGGGACATGGAGGACTCGTATATGTCCAAGAGCTACCTTGTCTCGGACGAAGTGGATATCAACCTCGATGTGCTTTGTGCGCTGGTGTTTGACAGGACTGGCAGAGAGATAAACGGCACTGACATTGTCACAGAACACCAATGTGGAGCGGCTGAGAGGTTGCTGAAGCTCTAGGAGTAAGTTGCGCACCCAACTAACTTCAGCTACGGCATTTGCTATAGCCCTGTATTCGGCCTCAGCGCTTGAGCGTGACGTGGTCTGCTGGCGCTTGGTGGACCACGAGATGAGATTGTCGCCGAGGAAGATGCAGTATCCAGTCGTGGAGCGACGAGTATCAGGACAACCGGCCCAATCAGCATCCGAGTAAGCCCGCATAGAATCCGTTTGGGACGGAGAGATAGAGATGCCATGAGTGGGTGTGCCATGGAGATAACGTAATACCCGTTTCATTGCCGTAACATGTGGTGTGCGTGGGTCATGGAGGAAGAGACACAGCTGCTGGACGGCATATGTGATGTCGGGACGGGTGAAAGTGAGGTACTGTAGTGCCCTGACGATAGACCGGTACATGGAAGGATCCGGCGCTCGGGGTCCTGCTGAGGCCGATAGCTTCCCTCGTGTGTCAACCGGGGTAGAGGCCGATTTGCACGAGAG